TATATAAGCATGAAGATCACAACTAGTTTAAAAACGCATAATTACCGGTCACTGCAAATTTTCGACCTCACAATAAGTTGCATAATGATGCCAAGAGCCTTCATAGTGTTCAATGTTACTTCATGAGTTTTTTCAGCGCTCTTAATCCTCTGACGCAGCACTGGGATCAGTTTTCTAAAAGAAAGACTTATAGATGTTCATCTTCGAAAAACAGAGATTTTAGACAGCAACAAACAGCCAAAATAATCTTTAAAGTAAAGCCAATATAAATATATAAATGTAAAAAAAGAAACAACTTACACGAATGCGACAGTTGAATGAAAATTTTCTATGTAGTTTTGCAAAACAAGCCTAAAATTTCTGAATCTTTCTTCACTGACAAGCTGAATAACAGTAACCTAAAAACAAAAGCAGACAGTTTGGAAGCATAATCACAAAAAATCAGTGTTGTGAAAAATCCCTATTTTAAAAGCAGTTCAGTCAAAAACACCAAAACAGGAACAGAGATTTCTGCAAGAATATAAACTAACCAGGGCATCAAACACCAATCCGTCATATTTCGGGTAATGATCGACTATTTCAAAAAGAGCGTCGCAAAAATTAGGTATGAATTTTACCAGTTCTTCACTGACTGTACCACCTTTCGAGTGGGATATTTCCCTCAATTTTTCTTCCAATGCCCTACTAAAATGTTCCTCACTGATAAAAAAAAATGAAAAACATCATTTAGCAGGAACAGAAATGTTAAGCGTACTCGTTATTTTTCCATCTTAAAATATGGAGCAGACTCTTGTTATGCGTGAGCGCCGTGGAGCAAGTGACAGAACGAATAACTAAGGAATTTTTCTCAGCGAACGAATAGGGATTTGTTGGTGAGCGATGCTGCGGAACTGCCTTTGATTCATTCCGTGATGAAAGCAAACGTAAATAACTCCTGTCATTCTCAGTGAACTTACCCGACTCGATCTAAATCAAAGGATCGCACCATATGACCTACTCGCACACTAAAAAGACGTTTAGAACGGGAGTAACAAGAACAGCTTACGCGATAAACGAGCAGAGCATGCGAACCATCCTTGATTAACGTTGCGTCCTCTAAAACGCGAGCAAAAGCTAAAGCAAAAGGTCCCTTTTCCTGCTTTCCCTTGTCGTAGCACTTTTTATGGTGAAAAGTTATACGAATATGAATGTCTTTTTGAGACTCTTCGGGGATTACTATCTTAAACAGTCAATATTAATACATGAAAACCTTATATATAACCGTAAAATAGAGCAGAAAATTACCTTGATTATTTCATTCCATTTCGGTCTATCTTCGTGGTAAAAAACCAGGCTGTGGTAGAATGTTTTCTTCTGTAGGCCCTCAGGAGTGGCCACTTCAATGCACTAAAAATTATATATTAAAAACAATGATCTCAAAAGTCCTTCAAATAAGATTTTGGTACTTTTTCGTCACAACTTTGTGCCGCAGAAGACTAGCCAAGAAAGAAATTCAGTGGGTATCCTCTGTAAAAGCAAAGCCAGTTGTATGTATAAAACTTATTTTTTCTTGTTTTAACTTTTTTCAAAAGTCTAGCTATAAATCCTTAAATATCCTAAGAAACCACGATTTAAGTCTAAACAAGATAAATTAATTGATTCTTTAAAAATACTTTATGCGAAGTTACGCGGCAGTTAAAGCAATAAACCACAATAAAAAGTTCATGAGATACATTGCTTGAGGCTTATAACCCAGAACATTGTAAGACTAAAGACTTTAGTGCAATGAAGGAAAAATCATTCAGAAAACAAATTACTTCTTTTAGAAAGTTACGTTGCTTAGTCTATATAGCGTAGACTACTTTTTAGATAAGACCCGGTAAAGTATATCTGACGATTCTATTTACCAGAATAACTAAGGAAAGCTAAATACTGCACTTCTGCAGAATAATGTAAAGTAAAAATTGAAGTTTCCCTAAACCAGAAACTTGACTTTAGCAGAAATCTGCCAGAAACTTTATAACCAAACTATAACGAAAAAATATTAGAAAAAGGAAAATTTTGCAATTAGTAACACTAGACAACTTAAATTTAACGACAGATATCTGTCAATTTCAATCTTAGCTCTGCCCTTTCGACTTTGCAGGATTATAATGTAGAAATGGCATAATGTAAAAAAAAAATTCGGTCAAAAATGTTAAAACTGAAAAATCTTTAAGGATGTAAAACAAAGAAGCATGCAGGGGTCATAGAAGTTTCGTATCTAAGCATTCAATTTTAAAAAAAGTTACATCATTAATTAAAATATTCATTTTACCAACCAAAACACGACATAAACGTACATTTTCAATAACACCGTTATTATCCACAGCACAAATGCGTGCTTCGATATTCCCGTCTGATGATTTGCCTCCATGTAAATCAGCTTCAACTAACATAATGTACAAGTCATTTCGGGCTTCATCTACAAAGTTTTGAAAATTAGGCGAAGTTAGATTTAAAACTTTATCAAATCCGCCGACCAGAATGATATTCAAACAATATTCCCTACATCATACAAGCTTAATGATAACCTAATAGACCTTTACCTGCAGAAATCACGTCGGCGAAACGTAACTTCTGAACCTCAGTCGGAGAATGTAAAGAAAATATATGCGGGTAAGATTTCTTTATAGCAGCCAAAGAACCAACGAGGACCTCCGCAGATATCATTAACCGTGGCTGTTCATACACTTAAAAATTTTAACAATATCCAACTAAGATGAATTCTTGAGTGACGGCAGAAGAAAAGAAACATAGTCCACGGTTGAAAATTACGACTAGAAGAGAAAAACAAATATACAGTCAACACAATGAGATAAAGAACACTACCTGACCCTGACTCGTTACTCACTGCTTTTATGCTGTTACTCCAAGAACTTGAGCAGTTTTTGGAAATTAATTGATCAACTGACGCCTCCCTAAAAAACACCAATTATCCTTTGTAATTAATCATTAACGAGGAGTCTTTAAATACACTTCAGTCACTCCTAAACCGCTCTGTAAACAAAAATGTAATACTTATTTACTCCTACTATTAATAACACGTAATAACACTTCTCCTCTCCTCTATAATAAACAAGTTTGTGACAAACTAACAAGAAAAAAATTTTAATTTTATACAGCCAACGAAAATTTTGTTAATGTTTTTCTCTTTAACTCTAAAGTCAACTGAATTGAAAGTAGCAAGAGTTTTTACAGATAGATGATAAAATAACAAAAAAATGAGGACCACCATATTCTCATTAAACTTAAAAACTGCTACCTTTTTAGTCCCAAACAAGCAGTAAAGCTTCAGGAAATTAACTTAGCTCTGAAGGCTTGGTAACTTACAATAAAGTTTATGAAAGCCCATTACCTGCTATTTAAAGATAGCAGCCTCAATATGAGAGCAGAATTATTACGAAAAGCAAAGAACCTGAGTGGAAAAATTTAGTAATTCTAAAGGGAAATTATTTCTCCCCATTGAGTACTAATTACAGCATTGGTATTTAGTGACTTCCAAGAGCCAAATATCATAATGCAAAAACAAACCTATTCAAGTAAATCATATACTCTTTTGAACCAGGAGGGCCGGCGAGCAGATCTGTAAGGTCAAAAACAGCTGCTGCATATGGCTGACGTGGTAACAGCTCTTGTGATCCAGTATCAATTAGTTTCCTAACAGTTGATGACGATGACTCAATTGGAGCGATTCGTGCCACTCTAACACCCATCAAAATTCGGTGATCTTTACTTGAAGAGGGAACCGAAGGAAATTTCTTAGACCCAAGGTCCTAAACACAAGTCAACAAAGTACGATCAGTTTAGAGCCAATGTCTGTTCTCTGACTAGAAACTTCAACAACAGATCTTTACCTTAAACAAAGCTCTACAGTTTCTACTACTTAACGCCCTTGTTTTCCAGTTCCAATAAAAAATAAAGCTTTCTCTGAAAAAAAAAACCAAAGTCAAAAATCTAAATATAAAATAATACATCTGATTCTATTAAAAAAATAAACAACGATAATTTGAAAATAACATCATAAAATGCCACTTTTCCGTGAGAATCAAGAAAAGATGGAATATTCACACAAGATCAGAGATTTGAAAGAAAAAAACCGAATCTTTAGATTCTAACCTTGAAAATATAGCTGTATCAAAGGTTTTTAACCAATTATTCTATTCAAGTTAATTAAGGAGAAGAAAAATGTGGGCTCAAAAAGCTTACGATATATACTTTTGCTCCGTGACGCCATACAGCGTTAGGGAGAATTCGCAGTCTGAATTGCAGTTAAGAAACGCAGAATGTGCTTGTACAAGTAAAGAAAATGCACTGACAGTGCTTACGTCATTTGGATTCTGCAAAAAATGAAAAATGAATAAATAAATAAAACAAAATATGATCCTAGACAGCCACACCTATAACTTGCATAGAAAGCAAAAAAAACTTCAAGAAGTTTTTCTAGTAATAACTTTCACTAAACCATTCACTAAACCAACTTCTACCGAGTCATTAAAAATTCTATCTGCAGCATTAAGATGAGCTCGGTAAGCGTGAGCCACAGAGACCGAATCGTTTTCAATGACTTTACCAGAATCATCCCGAATGACCATATCCAAGCCCAACCACCTAAAATTATTTAATAAGCTAGAAAAAAAAATAAATTGTCCTCTTCCCTAGAGATGCTTATGAAGTGATATCAGGATAGTCACGAACTTCCTACAAAAATAATTGCGAAAGCCTGGTTCAAAACAGCAAAAATCTTAAAAAAAAAACAAATCGTCAGGAACATGCTGATTCACTCACTCGTTCCCTAAATCAATCTTCTTCACCAGTTGCAACCGCATTTCTTTTAGTTCTTCCACAGTAACATTCCCAGACAAAATTTTTTTCCTCATGACCATTAATTCTTCCATATATAGTAATATTTCGTCTTGACACTCCATTCGTGGTTGCCTTCCATAGGTTTCCTGCATACAAGCTGTTAATTAAAAAAAGTACTGAACCTTCGAACAGATGCTAAATAATGAGCTTAACGAAGTATCTAATGAGAATGAAAGAAATGTAATAAGTTTCTGTAAAAAAAAATCATTTGCGACTGCAGTAAGCTGCAAAACACTTGAAACTAATAAAAATTTCCATTCCAGAAAAGCACCTTAATAGATGTCCACCAATCTTTTAACACATCTGTAAGTTCAGCTGCAAGCTCATTTGCTTCACTAGTTGCAGAAGAAGATTGCTCAGAAAGAAAGATAACTGCGGCTTTCGGAAATATCCCACAGTTGGCTTCATCGCTCACACAATTTCCATAATACCATTCTTAAAGTTTATGGTAACAGAAAGTTGTCTGATACAGTCCAATAAAAAAATGAATTTGACTTTCACTAAAAAAACAAACAAACAAACAAACAAACAAACCACCAGCCGATGCTAGGATATTCAGTCGGTCGCCAATGTGAACTGGAAGCAATTTAAAGTTACGCTGCTGCAGTGTGGAAAAAGATTCCAGAGTAAAGTTGCACTGCGCTAAAATAACATCAATTATGCAAACGCAAAACAACTGGTCCATCATTGGTAATATTACAGCAAGGCAACTGGCCAGTTTAAATTTTAACAAACCTATGGCTGGGCTAGACATTCTCTTTTTTCAGAATATTCATTTTTTCTTAACCCTAAGTAAATTATGATGAGGTAGACAGTTCTGTTGAAAACGACACTGTTTCCTTATCCAACGCAATCTTTCCTGCGCGAAAGAAGCCGAATTAAGAAGTTAGTTTTCCTAGTTATGCAGGAAATACAATTCCTGAAAAGACAGAAAGATAACAAAGAGCGAAGAAATACAACCACTGTGATAAACCAATATCACTTTACAATCAACATTTATTCCTTCTTTGATAAATCAACCCCTTTTATCGTAAAATGAGGAGGCGCAAGGTTGAAGAAAGCATAAAACTGCAAAGAAAGAAAAAACAAAAAAAAAAATATGCTATACACGGGTAGGTGATGTGCTAAAAAGTAAAAGGCGATAACCAGTAAACTAGATCCAGGGAAAACAATAAAACTATTCACGATACAGATTATAAAAAACCAGAAGAAAATAGCGGTAAATGCATCTTAGAACTATAAAAAATTCTACAAATGAAAGTGAAGCAGATCTAATACAAAACAAATTAATAAAAACTGAAAAAAGAATGATAATTTTATCGAACAATCATTCAATTTGCAGGTCCGGTCAAATAATTACTTTCATCACTATCATTTGGAAATATAGAGAATTCAGTAAAGACGATCGAGATAACTTACCATCATAAAACATACAAACACCTTATACATACTTAGCCGGCTATAGACTAGCAAATCTTTGACACCTCGTTCTTTTTACCGAGTTTAACCAGCATAAACATCAAAAAGTGAGAGAAAAGGAAGTTCGACGATCAACGAAACACAGTAGCAGCGGGTAAAAACTATATAAAATTAAACCGCCTTTGGGTAAAGTTCGTATTCAGATTCAGCCGGATACAGTGCTATCCACAAAAACAGTTGCTCGTTACGCATACCCGCATAAAGCTTTTAGAATTATGATGCGTCTCCCCCATCAGCTCCAGTTACTGATACTTGTCATCAATAGTTAGACCAGTCACCCAAGTTGATTATCCTCACCAGTCCTTTTTCTCCCGTTTCTCGAACGTTATTACTTAAACCTGATAAACCTGGGCGCCCTAAATGCAGCAGGTATGGAAATAAGGGTTTGAATCTTTTATAGATCAGTTATATATATATATAT